GGCAACTTCAAGATGTGTGGACGTCCACTCCCCCCAATTCCCCCCCCCCCCGCCGTGGCTGGCTGGGGAATTCTGGGAGTTGACGTCCACACATCTTGAAGTTGCCAAGGTTGAGAAACGCTGCTCTAGATCCTGTGGAATGATCAAATAACGCTTTTGTCCTTCTTCCTCTGTGTCCTTTCCAGTTTCCATTGCTCAACCCAGTGTGGGTCCTCATGAGCATCTGTTCTAATGCAGCCAATGGTCATGCAGGGATGCTCATTCACCCTCCCCAGATGTCGTGAATGGCACACCACAGGGGCGTCCCGTCGCAACAGCACCTCCTTCGCTCAGTCTCAGGTAAGCTGTTCTCCTTCAGTACCACCCAACTGCTCTCTTCTTCGCCTTACCTATGCAAGGTGTTACTCCAAGGGTTAGCACCTCACTTTCATGGATCTGATAAAGGAGATGATCCCTAATTGCAGCCATGGAAGCAGGCTTGTACTATGGACATGTCTCTAAAATGTTTTTTTTTCATTCTCTTCAAGTCCCTGCATACTAGTCCTCAGTTTAAAAATGAGTTCTGTTCCCAAGATCTGTTCTTAAGTCGAATGTGTACGTAAGCCAGAACGGTATTACCGTATAATACTATGTAAGTAGTATTGTGTAATGAACTCAAACCATTGTGTATTTAACTGGAATTTTGCTACAGTAGGCTCTGTTCTTAACTATGGGTTGTCTTTAAACCCGGAGTTCTTAACCGGGGACTCCCTGTATAAGGATTTTGCATTTAAAAATTGCCCCAGTTGGTATTAGGCATTTAGAAGGCATATAAGCAAAGGCTAGATAACACATAAAATCCTGTACTGAAATCTGATACTGAGCAGTGGGTTGGATGACATGATCTCTGGGCACCATTCATAACTAGTTAAAAAGTTCTGTTGTTCAGTTATGGGACTGTGCATGCTGGTGGGGCTGAATTAACTAATTAGAATCAGTAACGGGAGGCTTTCAGTGCAAGTCCTCATCTGCAAGAATGCTGCTATAAAGCTTAGTGAGATAGCAAGAAGCTTGAAATGTGCTCGACATTGGTGGGTCATTATTACTGATTAGTTTATTCATTTATTAGTTGCTTTTACAATTCTTATGTCAGCCCTTCAAGGTAGACTAAACTAGGAAACCAAAGACATGCAAGCTAATACTACTTTTACTATAAGGTTGTAGTAAGAAAATATTTCAAGTCTGAATGTGCTTCCCCCCTCCCTCCCTTTATCTTCATGAGAAGTAGGGAGGGTCATGTCTGAGGCACTTTCTCAAATTACATTTCTGGCCGGGACTCAGATTTCTTTTATCTGACTCTTGTCTTGGTTGTAGCTCTTCCTCCTGTCCCTCAAGGTTATTCCTTCTTCCCATTACCTCTATAGCCCACCCTAATTGGAACAGAGTGCAGGTAGAGTGCAACTAAGCCCCCCCAAAAACCATGAATAGCATACATAGATAATAGAAATCAACAATAACACAAATTAGTACATCGCAGGTGCCATTCACTTAACCGAAGGGCCAAATGGTCACTGGAACCATGCTACTTTGAAATACTTCTAGAGCCGGACCATCCATATCTCTGGGGAGAGAGTGTTTCATAAACTGGGGGTCACCACAAGAAGGCCTACTTCCTGGCCACTCCTCACGAACCTCGTGAAGGGCGGGGTGGGGACCTTCCTCGGATCTAAGCCTTCCCTTCAGTGCTGGGGCCAAGTTCTGGGAATTCTAATGAAAAGAAAAGCAGGACTTCCCTAGTCTTGGGGCTAAGAAGGGGCGTTGTTTTTTCCCCCAAGCCACTCTCCTAATTTCTTTATCCACCAAAAGAAAGAAAACTCACACCTTCAGAGAGAGAAGCAAAAAGGATGCTGATTCAGGGTGGCATTCCCTTACAATAACATTTCATAGACGATCCTGCCTCAGTTTCCCCTTTCCTCTTTTTGAGGACCACAAACAGCCCCGTTCCTGCCCTAGCTGGCCTTCTGTTCTCTAGGCCAGCCTTCCTCAGTGACCAAGGTGGCTGGGTGATACTTTCTAAGGTATCTGGAAGATGCAAGGCTTGGAGAAGTGTCTCAAAACCTTCCGTGATGGTTTCTAGGAAGGCTGTCAACAGTGAGCGGTGTAGCCCTTAGGAACCGAGAGAAAGTGAGGCAGAGGCAGTGGGTAGCCCTTCAAGTCCAGGAGGCTGGCTGATGGAACAAGAAGCAGGCAGAGTTGGAGCAGAAGTGAGAAGGGACTGTTTATCACATGCTTGTAGGTGGGTTGGAGCACGGAAATGCCATTTGAAACAAAAATCTGTGGGAGACGCTTACTGATGGGAATGGAATCCTCTTGGCAAAAACAGTGCATGTTTTCTTCTTCGGTGCCAAAGGCTGCGGTGCGAGCCAGGAAGTCCTGTTTTCTCCAGGGAAAACAGGGACTCCCCAAGAGTTCCAGATGCCAGCAATGGCTGCCCCTGATTCTAGCAGCCTCTCCTTTCCCTCAACCACATGCCGCCGCCACCCCTTCAAAAGTGTGGCTCAGTGACAGGTGGGGAGCCGGTGGCTTCCTCCTTTCCCCCCCCCCAACACTGTAGAATTGCAATTCTCAGTAGCCCAGACAGGATGGTCAATGTAGTTGGCAACGTGTGGAGACCCAAAAGGACCCCCATGCCCGCGTGATGGATTCCAAGAGCACAGGAATCGGAGACTTGGCCTGAGGCAGCAGTCAGGGCAAAAGGAGGGGCTTGTGTACCTTAATAGCTGGCTGGAAAGGTCATTTTGCAGAGCAAGAGCCAGTGGACGATGGGCCCTGATTTGCGCAGCTGACTAAAGATGGATGAATCCCATCCTTTGGGTTCTGCCTTCAATATTCCAGTTTCTGATTTCACCCCATCACTCCCTTGAATATTGGGGAGCAGAAGGGAAGGCTGAAATGACACAATGGCTCTTCTACCGTGCAGTTGAAAGCTTCCGCTGCATGGGGTTCCCATGAACATCTAGCTGAACATCTGTGGTTTCCCCCATCAGACTCTGAGACCTACAGCCATTGCTGTAGAGGACTTATTTCTACCTAGACCTTACTGATGGGCACCTCCTGATGCTACAGGGCTATATAAAGTGTTATGTGGAATCTTTATTTCAAGCCCATTTCTAGTAGGGACCTTGCCTCCCCACCCCACCCCCATGCATAGAAGGTCTGATCCAAAAGGCCATTCCAATGCTTAGCTGAGCTTCCTTTTGTCTGAGTAATACCGAGTCAAGCATGACTGTCACACGTCCATGCTTGGGGGAGTTAGAAAAGCCTTGCCCATAATGTTTAGCCTTCCTCACACATAAGCAGTTGTACTTTCTCTCTTATTCTCTCCCCCCGCCCCCCAAAGAGTCAAAACGGCCTGGAAGTTGCTGGAATTCCACCTAGACAAAGCCGTGATTCACACAGAGAACGGTGGTTGCCACTCTGCCACCCCCTGCAGATTCCAAGGGGGTCAACCAGGAAGGCAGCAAGCAATGTCTTTGGCCCCTCCTGCCCTCCCTTTTCTGTCGCTGCCCCCCCCTTCTTCTCAACTTTTGGGTGGCTTGGGGAAGAAGGGAGGTGACAGCCAGGCTAGGCTTCCCAATGGAGCTCTTTACCAGCTTCTGAACAGGTAAGCCATGGTCCACGGGGGCTGAATGCCTGCCTTGATCTAAAAATAAAGCCTTTGCACACAGATCTGGTTTGCAGATGGGGGAATGAGAGAGGGGTGAGTGGATCAACCAGATGGACATCTCTTGTAGCAAACGATTGAGGCTGAAGCTGGAAAGCAGGTCCCTGCACAACCTCCCTCCCCCCCCACGAATATTTGATTTCAGGCGAAGGAGGGGGAAAGGTCTCATTTTACATCGAGCCATTGCAGCAGGACCTCATCTGGCATTTCTCTGTGAGTGGTGGATGTCTTGGGTGGGTCTACTGCCCAGACAGGTTCTCTTCCAGCTGGCCCTGAGGTGGCTTCTGCTGTCCCAGGGGCAACCTGGATGCTGAGAACGGTTCCCCTCTTGGCCTTTGGGCAACTACAGTTGGTAGACTAGCCTGCCTGAGCACGTGGAAAAGCCCAGGTGACAACAGCAAGATGCACCAGATTTGATGTGAATGATTTATAAAGGGCATCTTTCTAAGCTTGAGCTGGCAGTATTTTCTCTGTTTTTTTCATACATCTATATTGTTTTTGGATGTTGTGGCATATTAGGGTGGGGTAGGGTGGGGAGCGGAGCTTGTGAATTAAAGCCTGGCTTGAAATTGGCACAGCATTCCAAACTCTGCCAGGTGGAGGCTACCCTGGCTATGTTCAGGTGTACTCAGTGGAACAAGAATGAAACTTTTCACCTGTTCCAAATGGGGCAATGCTTTTCAAAATTAGAATAGGACACTACCACCCTGGAAAGACTTTTGGGATGCAAGGAGAAACTTTGGACCAGTCCTTTTGCCATATTTATCTATCTATCTACCATCTATCATCTATCAATCTATCATGTATATCTATCTACCATCTAGCTAGCTAGCTATCGGTGTTTGCATAAAACTATTTCAAGTCTCCAGCTAGTAACTATTAATTTGCTGAGTGCAATTCTTCATCTCCATCTTTCTCTCGAGAATTCCTTCCCTGATGATATAATTCCCCTCATTGCCTGTGACACATATAGAGGGATAATGTAGAAATGTTACAAGCTCTGTTTTGGACAAGACTTTTATAAATCAATCTATGGCAGGAGAGCTTATTGGAGGAGTCCTCCATCCTGCTCCCCACCGGATTTCTAACCTAGTTTGTGCTCTGTAAGAATCCAATTCCTGCAGACTGTGGAATATTAGGACTGATAAGTCTGCTGTCAGAAGTAAACCTTCCATGAAGAACTTGATGATACTTAAATGTATCCATGCTGAAACGCTTGGGAACGAAGAACTGCAGATAGAAGGCAGTTCTAAAGTATTCCATTTTCTGTGTCACTAGTATTTGCTCCGCCAGAATAATGTCTTTGTAGTGAAACTTCTGTTTAATTGCCAAGCAAAAAAGGAAAACTTCGCTGATTCGCACTAAGGAGACCCATCTTGTCCCACATCGGGAACCAAATCAGGTATTTCCTTGAAGCCAACATATAGTGTATGAAAAATATAGGTTGCTATCTACAGTTTGGAGCCCCATTTTTTCTCTGACCTCTTTGATTTCTGTCAGCAGATAAAAAATACAAGTAACAGGTGATGGGGAAGGCCAGCATACGAAAACCATCAGTGGAAACGGTAGCCTGATGGTTGCTTTTGAAAAAAGATAATTGAAAAGGAGTGTTTGGGGAAAGCAGCTTTCCAGATGAAATGAAAAACACATTGCATCTGTTCAGGTGCCATTTGCTTGTAAATCTCTTTGGTTAGAGAAGAAATTTACTCCTCTGCTTAAGGAAAAGTCATTTGCTCTGGTTGGTGCACTTTGGTTTGCGATTGCTCAATCGTTTGGAAATAGAAAGCCGACACTTTAGTGCATGCATGCACCCAAAATGAAGTTGTGCTGTAAAATGCACAAAGCTGAAACGGGGAAATGGTGTTGTTTGGTGTTTATGTTGCAAGACTCGCTCCGTATTGATCTGACACAAGGGAGCCTGCAGAGAGGGTAAGCCAATGTGAATGTGATCAAATGCAGAGCAAGAAGCTAACACAGCGGTGGACAGATGGTGTAGTACCCTCCTGAGATCCCCTCCCCCAACTTAAAATGCCTACAACACATTATGGCAAACTTTGAGTAAATTGAGTTTGTGCAAAATCAATTCAGAACATCTTGGTTTGCGACAATCAGGGCCAACGCTTTAGAATGCAAACCATAACCTGGGTCAAAAAAGAATAGCAATAACAGAAAACAAGTAATTTGAAATGCATTTGTTTATGTGCGTGTGTGTGCATGTGTTCTCTAAGTCTGAGGAAATTTAGAAACTTCTGTAAGCTGAACAGAAAATGTAGGCTGCAGCTTCAACTAAAGGCAAAGTCTCCCTTGGGTTGAGCTCAACTGCTGGTGACTTCATGGATGCATCTATATAGCTTCCTTGGAAAATGGAATATGGAACATGGAAGTAGTTTCCCAGTGTCTTCTTCTGGGATGTTTTTAAAACTTCCTACTTGAGCTTCCAGGCCTGGGATGACCTTCTGTCCAGTGACCAACCAGCACTAACCCTGCTCCATTTTGTGAGATCAGCCAAAGGCAGCTAGGCGGTGTAGTTCCCTAGATGGGTGCTCAGCACAGTACCTTCCCATGTATTTTTAATTAAAAGGGCTTCAAACAAGAAAGTCAGATAAGACAAGGAATCTGGCAGGCATTAAGGCAAGTACAGACACAGTGATGTCCACAAGTTCCATAGGGGGAGCCTGATGGTTAGGACATTGATTCTGTAACTCAGTGTTCCTCAACCTTCGCAACTTTAAGATGTGTGGACTTCAACTCCCAGAATTCCCCAGCCAGCCATGCTGGAACACTGCTGTAACTTGAATAGAAAGAGGAGAAGAAGAGGCAATAGGTAATCAGTCTCTTCAGCAAATGGTGATGGGGATAGTGATGATGATGATGATGATGATGGTGATGATGAGTAGAGCTTATGCTGAGGCCTGGCACTGCTCACTCTGCAGAAAGGAATCCACGTTTTTTGAGACTTCCTGTGGGCACCATGGGACCGCGTTTGCGAGGAGAATCACGGCTAGCTGCTGGATCCAGGCCAGCGAAATCTCTCTGGAGGAAGGAGAGATCATTGAGATTATCCATGTGATTCCATACAGCCAATCCTCATGAGCAGACCGCAGGAACGGACGTTTTGTGGTCAGCTTATGAGTTGAGTGGCTGGGAGTTGGGACTTCATCAAGGTCACGCATATAAAGCAGCCTTTCATGGACATTAAGCTTGATCGATCCTCATTTCTTAATCACTTTTTGGATTTTTTTTTATTGTACGGGAGAGATTAAGACCCTTTGGATCGGCAAGGTTTTTCTGTCTTCATCAGGTGAGTCCTCTTCTCTTTAGAGGAAGATGATGTAGATTTGATTTTAAAAGTTGTGGAAAGATATGATTTTTTTGGATTATGCAGAAAAAGGGTGCTTAGAATATGGATTTCAGAAAGTTAACAATGGATTAAGGGTCCAGAGGGATTTGGAATTGTATTTTGTACTTTGTACTTTGAATTAATTAGAATAAATTTTCCCATGAGAAATGGCAATAGTTTGGCTCTGAAGTATGATAAGGGGACCTTGAAGGTTGGACACTAGAGGGAACTAGAGGATAAAGAAAAGAATGGAGCAGAAATTTATAACAGAGGAATTTTTTGAATATTGGTCTGCCAAACTTCTTGATAAGATAGATACATTTCTTGGTAAGATGGACAGAGGATATTGTAATGAAGTTACAGAACAAGTTTCAGTAGATAATTCTGAAAATACTTTGAAGGGGAACTTAAATGTGATAAGCAGTGAGGAGGATATGGGGAAAGATATGGACACACAAATGGATCTGATGGATGACTTATCCCTAACAGAGATGTGCAAGCATGGAACCAGGAAATTGATTTGGATGACTTTTTTTTATTGGATATACAAAAGAGTTCTGTTAAGGTCTTAAAGGACTTTATTGACTTAAAAAACAGATGAACAGAAAACTAGCTCTGGGATTCTTTTTGAAGGGGTTAAAAATAAGATTCTTTAAAAACTCAGGGAATGAATGCTAGATCGGCTTATTCGATCAGGGCTAAAACCAATAGTTATATCTGGTTGCCCTTACTGGACTTTTGCTGACGAAGAACAATTGATGAAGCATCTGGATTTTGTTTTTTGCTTAAGAGATGAGCTATGGGGTGAAGAGAGACTATGTTGTACTTAGAGAACGGTGATAAGCTATTAAAATTGTCTTTACTTGCTGGGATGAAGGGGGAAGTTACTTCTTCTTTTTCTCTTCTTTTTTCTTTTTCACACTTTTTTCCTTTTTTTGTATTTTTCTGTTTCTATTTTTTGTGGTATGTATTTGTATCCTTTTCATTCATAATTCTTAATAAAACTATCTTTAAAAAAACAGGAATCTACATTTTAAAAGCTATATGCTGATCTGGGTGGCACAGTCATCTAGTGCTGTGAACAATTTTTCCCCCCATTTCTTGTCAGCCAGCTTTACTCCAAGCAAATATTTGCCCCTGAGCTACTGACTCTCCATCAGTCCATGAACTGCACTCCTCTCTTTGAAACTCTTAACTACTACTTAAAGCACAATTTTGATTGCTAACATTATTTTTAGGTAGTTTTTAATTAAAAGATTTTACATACCTAATAAGAAATACATTCAAAGACAAAATATAGTAAAGTAAATATGAAAAAGAAGAAAAGAAAGGAAGAGACAAACAAAAAAGGAGATAGAAAAAGAAAATAAAAGAACAAAAAACATGAAATGTATGTATGTATGTATGTATAAAGAAGTGGCTTCTGATTTTCTTCTTGGTAGTTATACGTATAATCCTAATCAAACCTCTCTCTCTAAGATTACATCATAATTCCCTTCTTTCTATAAGCTATTCTTTCTAATCATCAAAACCATCAGTCATAAAATCATTTTCTTTCTTATGCAAAAAGTCCATAAGGGGTTTCCAGTCATTGGTGAAGGTCAATAATGACCTTTCTCTCATCAAAGAAGTCAGTTTGGCCATCTCAGCAAGTTCTGTCAATTTCACCAATCAATCTTCCATGGTAGGTAATGCTGAACCTTTCCATCTTCGTGCATACAATAATCTCACCACAGTTATCATATGTTGAAATAATCTTCCATGGCTCTTTTCTAACTGTTTATCCATCTGTCCTAAAAGGAAAAAATCTGGCTTCAGTTGAATATTAATCTTTAAAATCTTCTGTATCAATGTATGTATTTGAGTCCAATTTTTTTAGCTTTTTTACATGTCCACCAAGCACGATAAAATGTCCCATCATGTGGTTACTAATATTATTCTGTCTTTCGGCCCATGGGAAGCCCAAAGTAACAAATAACTAAAACTCAAACATCTAAAAATATGCCCAAAACATAATCATCAGTCTCGGGGAGCCTGAAAGGTGGTTGTATTATATGAGTTGATTGGCATTCTCCTGCATTCTTGGTTTTATTGTTTTTAAATTTTTATTTGTACTGTAGTGTTTTAATAATTGTCATACTGTTTGAATTGTCACTGTAGTTGTACGCCACCCTGAGTCACGTTCTGTGGCATAGGTGGCTAAATAAATAAATATTTGGGGGGGAAAGAGAAAAATGCCTGAATCAAACTGACTCTGTTCCTTCTGTGCTTCCCTTTCCTTGATCAGCTTTTCTGTGTTTCCGCTTAGGTTAAAACAGCCCATGATGGCACTGTGCCAGCCAGTGTGAACAAGAAACCTCCAAACGGTGCTGTTGGGCCCCAGATGCCTCTGGAAATGAATCTCTGCTGGAATGAGATTAAGAAGAAATCACACAGCCTTCGGTAAACACTGCAAAAGTGCCCTTTTCTAATATGGGGGGGGAAGGGCCAGTCTAGGCATCACCAAAGTCAACTGTTGAACTTGCATCTGTTAGAGATCCAATGGAGAGGACGCTATTGTGTCTCACAAATGGCTTTCAGGAGGAAGAAACTGAGATAGACAGCAGAAGCCAAACCTGCACCAGGTTGAGCTTGCACCAGGCATGCCTCAGCACAATTCTGGGAGAGGCCACAAATGGGGATAAGGTTCTGCCTGACCCAGAGAGACCCAGAGAGTCCCAGAGGCAGATGACAGAGTCCAAGAGAGGTTGGAGGTCAGGCTCTAGAGTGAAGAGGCAGAGCAGCAGGACAGGTTGCTCAAACACCCAAAGAAAAGATCATTGGTCAGAGCTTCTGCTTTGCCTGCAGAAGACTCCAGGTCCTTGGCTTTTCAGGTAATTCCAGGGACCCCTCAAAATTCTATAGAATGACTGTCAATCACTGTAGAAGCTGGCCACCATTTCCAAAGCTGAATTTTTCCAATTGTTTTGGATGGCAGCTCGCATCTTTAAGTATCATTGCTGGGATTGATAGGAGAGATAGTCCCAAACATGTGGTGGGACACATGTGGCTACAGGCTGAGGTAGACCCAGAAGTGTAACCGGGTCCAGATGCCTGACTTGGTATAAGGTCACATCCCTCCTGTGACTGAAAAGCCATGTCAACTTCTGTAGCACAAACGGAGAACCATTTGGACACTCAACAGCCTCACAAGTTGCCTGGTCCCACTGCTGATCATTTGGAGGCTTGCCCTGCAATACAGAAATGGCAGCCCATTAAATTTTAGCCTGCCCAGCGATCCAGGGGCCCAACTGCTTCTGTCTCCACCTGGAGTTTTCAGGGTTTTCCAGATTTCCTGAGCTGGAAGTTACAGATGCTCTAGCCTCCTCTGAACCTAGGCCTAATTCAAACATGCATCAGGAATGGCTTCTACTAACAACGATCTAGAACTCCAACATGCTTTGAGATTCCAAGTGTAACTTTGCTTCGAACTCTTCTACTTTCTGTCCTCTCAGTGTTCAGCATCTTCTTTGTCTCCTCAGGGCTCGTCTAGAGGCCTTCTCAGATCACAGCGGCAAGCTGCAGATTCCCTTGCAGGAGATCATTGACTGGCTTAGCCAAAAAGATGAGGATATTTCTGCCCAGCTACCACTCCGAGGGGATGTCCTCCTGGTACAGCAGGAGAAAGAGAGGCATACGGTAGGCACCAACAACCCACACCAGTCCTAGCATTAGACAGAACAAGGAAAGCCATCTGAGAAAGCCATCAGAATCCATAAGAAGTACTGGAATATTAATAGAATGAATAGAACAGAACAGAAGGCTAGCCCAGTGTTTCTCAACCTTGGGAATTTTAAGATATGTGGACTTCAACTCCCAGAATTCTGGGAAACCACGATAGAAAAGGCCTTGTTTCTAATCACCTATCTCCCTCGCTGTTTTTTTTTCCCCAGTGAGGAAAAATGTTGAAAATATTAAGTTTTCCTGCCATTTGCTCTTCTTCATATGGAAGAAAAGAAGATACCATTTGAGGTAGAGCTTAAACAACCTGTTAACATTCCTCTGATGTGTCTTTAGCTCATGTTGTGCTCAACTGCACTTCCCAGAAGGTGACAGAGTTAACCCTTTCCAGAGTCCTAAGGCTGGCAGGATTCTCTGCCTATAAGCTGCCATTTCTAGTTTATATAGAGGATTCAAAGAGTTGACTCAGCCAAAGACAACTGTTAGTTTAAGGGCTCTGTCTTGTGCATGGACACAATATTTTTGGGGTTCCATTCAGTTCTTTTGGTCCTCTCTCCCTGATGTAGGCATTCATGGAAGAAGTGAAGTCTCGGGGGCCATACATTTATTCTGTTTTGGAATCAGCTCAAGATTTCCTTACTCAGCACCCATTTGAAGAAGTGGAAGATGTAAATCTTGACAGCAAAGGTTGACAAATCTGCTCATGTTCTCAATCCATCCGGTCTTGTACTTTCCAACATTTTCTCCTGTTCTTACTCCTTCAGAGCTTCAGAAGGCTGTTAGCTCAGTGGGTGGAGGGTATTGGCCTCTGGATTGGTCTTTCAACCTCACTTCTCATCTTGAAAAATAATCTCTCCAGAACAGTATTAGTGGATACAGTCATACCCTCCTGATTTTCAAAGGGATATCTTAGGAGACAACCACATTAATAGACCGTGCCTTAAAAGCCCACCCCAGGAAAAGCCCTTTGGTAGGAAAAGGTTGCCCAGAATGAATAAGGACCTTTCTGAAGTAACTAGGAGAACCAGTTATTCAGAATTAGGAAAACCAGTGGACCCAAATAATTGATAGCCAATTATTCCCAACAGGATACAACACAAAAAGTTGTTGTGTTGTCTCTTGACCAGGATGACAGCCAGTTAGCCATGACCTACCCTTGGATATTCCATTCCACTCCTCCTCTCCAAACTATCATCTACCATTCTACAGCTACCACATATGCTCAGCCTTCATTGAGCATTCAGTGTTTTTTCCCCCCTTCCCTTATATACATTTTTGTACTTCTTCACATTTTGAACCTGGGATTATCTGCATGGAGAGTTTGTGCTGTATCTGTGAGATGAGATATTCCCATAAGCTCATATCCCCAGGATACCCCACCATGCATGCAGAGGAAATTAACATCTGTGGATGTTAATCTGAAACCATGGTGAAGGCAATGCTGTCACATCTTCCTTCCTCCCCACATCTCCTCCTCTTTCCCAAACCTGTTTGCTTTCTTCTTTTATCTGCTGCTAATTTATCACTCTTGATAGTTTACGGGCTCCTGTATCATAAGCCGCATAAAATAAGTGCCAGCTGCTGGTAATCACAAGTGGAAGAGGGCAACACCTTCCTCTCCATGCTTGTGAGTTTCTGAGTACAGTTGTATAACTCAGAATGTTGAACTAGATGACCATTGGTCTGATCCTACAAGGCTCTTCCAATGTTATGCTCTCCACTCCAGCTTTTGAAAATCCATCTGATTTCCTGCTGATGCAGTTGCATCCCTGGAAATTTAACATCAGGTTAGTTGTCTTCACCCTCCTTGATGCCCTGTTTCTAGATGTCTCCCCACGACACCGGATCCAGAATATTAGCCGTTTTGTGTGGAAGCAGGCAACGGTGGCCAGTGAACTGTGGGAGAAGCTGACTGCCCGCTGTGTCGACCAGCACCGTCACATTGAGAGGACCCTAGAGCAACTTCTGGAGATCAAAGGGACCATGGAGGAGCTCAGCACTACCCTCAACCAAGCTGAAAGTGTGCAAGAAACATGGGAGCCCATTGGAGATCTCTTCATTGATTCTTTGCCCGAGCATATCCAGGCCACCAAGGTAATCTTTGTAATTTATCCTGTACTTGTCCAAGAGACCTGGAGGGGAAAATAGGGGAGATGAAGGCACTGTAGACTCAGCATCTCACTGTGCAATAGAGCCCTGTTCTTACAAGCATGCAAAGTGACTAGGGTCCAGTGTTGTGCTGAGTCAGGGCTGTGGAACATTCATCAGCTTGAAGGCTCTACAATGTTTTGTGTGATATGTGCCAAACATCAGTAGAGTAAGGGTCTGTTTGGGGAGGAGGATGCAGGAGTTTTAAGGAGAGAAATAGATGCTTTCAACATCTGCAAGGCTTAAGGCACCCATTTGATTCCTTACGTCCCCAAATCTTCCCAAGTACAAAAAGTCTCTGAGGACAGAAAAGGGTTGCTGGTGGGCTTCATACAATCACTGTTTCATACTTTGTGCATTCCTCTGCTAAGCGATGGTTTGTTGAACAAACTACGACTGAATTCACACAATATATCAATCCTTAAATCATATTTTACAATCACAGAATTACTAGTTGGAGGTGGGGAACTTGGCAGAAGCCAAGATGGTGTCTATGGCACATTGACCTGAATTACTGATTAGTTGCTTCCTTTCTGTCTCTCTCTCTCCCCCCACTCTGCTTTGATCTCACTGCATTTTCTTGGGCTGATGTGGCTCCCCAGTTGTTCCAAGAGGAGCTCTCTCCTGTGAAAGACGGAGTGAAACTTGTGAATGACCTCGCACATCAGCTGGCTATCTCAGATGTTCATCTGTCCATGGAGAACTCTCGTGCTCTGGAACAGATTAACACACGTTGGAAACAGCTACAGGTGAGGAAGGGGCAGGAAGACACCTTGGACAGAGCTTGGCTCAACATGGTACCCAGTCTAGTCTGCTTTTGGCATTAGCCCTGTGTCCTCCCTCCCGCCACCTTCCCAAAATATAGACATCTGGGTTTGGAAGCTACCTGCTGAGTATGTTTTTATTGGAGCCCCATTTCAGTCTTCCCTGGCCCTGGCCCATTTTGGATGTGCTGAGCTACAACTCCCATATTCCCCACCAGAGTGGGGATTCAGTGCTACAGCAAGCTGGCTTTCAAGTCCCTACATGTGCTCAGCCATGAACTGCTTGCACAGGCCAAAAGACTGAACTTTTCCATAACTTAGTTTGACGGTTCCAACTTCTGCACAGGTCTCTGTCAATGACCGCCTGAAGCACCTTCAAGATGCCCACCGGGACTTTGGGCCAGGATCACAACACTTCCTCTCGAGTACGTGCACTATTTTTTTTTTTAATGGTGAAGATAGTTATTTGGGAGGGGAAACCCTTTTCTCTCTTATATACCCTTTTTGCTCTTCTGTTTCAAGCTTCTCTCGAACATATAGCAGATTAAGCTAATAAAATATGGAGGTGTCAAGGTAGCCTCACTGAAGGAGTGCAAAAAAATCACTGCAACCTTTTTTTGGAAAAACATGCCTCTAAAAAAAAACCCTAATCAGTGGGAAATTTTTTTTAAACACTCTACCTTGCTAAATTTTTCAGTGGGAAGGACAATTATCTTTTTTAAGAGGGGAGCTTTTCTGGCCCTCCCTCCATAGAAACCCCCCCACCCAAAACCTCACTGAGCATTGGAAAGGTTCTGGTGGATCAATGTGTTTTTTTTTTAAAACAGTCAAACTATAATCCCAAGTGTTCTTTAAATATTGTGGATTTCCTCCATACGCTCATGCGTAGTGGGCCATCGATTTCAATGCACAAGGAATGTGGAAGGAAAAAAGAGATTAAAGCAGCATAGGGCATAGTGTGGGGAAACAATCTGCCTGCAGATCTCTCAAAATCTTAAAACACTAATACTGAGCAAGCCCTACACATCTATGGTCTGGTATTATCTACTGCCCCATTTCATTCTCAAGCTTCCTTTTTCTTTGCAGCCTCGGTCCAGGTCCCGTGGGAACGAGCCATTTCTCCCAATAAAGTCCCTTACTACATCAAGTGAGTGTCAAGAAGCTTATTCTTGTATCCTGACCTTCATTACTCTCAGCCCTCTTGCCATATCCTTTTTTTTTTTTACCTTCATTTTGCACCTTGTAGAAATCAATATCATTGATTTTTCCTGTACTAATCAGTATGTTCTTGATGGGATTCTGCAGGAGCTCAAGATGCCCAAGGCAGTGCTTTTTTGTATTATTTATGAGTCTTGGACTCCTGCTGCCATCCAACCATCCAATTTAAGTATTATTATTACCAAAATTAAGTATGCATGGTATTTTGAGGGGCTTTCCTGAACACCCCTTTTGCCCATGCCAGATCCATGAGATATCTGAGTTTGTGTCTCTGCAAAAGCCTGATGAATATAGTTATAATTGAAAGTAGCCTTATGACTTAATTCATCATACTTTTTTCTAGCCACCAAGCCCAGACAACGTGTTGGGACCATCCAAAGATGACTGAATTATACCAAACGCTGGGTAAGAAAAACTGTAATGCCTCTGAAATCTGTTAAGAAACAGATTGGAACATGCCTTATTGTGGCCTATGATTCCTTTTCATTCATTATTAGAATATTGTAAGAGTTGATTCCCGTAAAGATTGAGAAGACACATAAACAGCCAGCTGTAGGCTTTTCTATTATCAGTAAAAAAAAAACCACCTTCTCACAACATCAATTTTTAGAAAGAAAATTCCATCCCTTTTTCCTCAATAAATCTCATTAAAGAAAACTCTCCAGGAATCACGCTCAGAAAGAATCACTTTCAGCTCAAGGCTGCTGCCAAAGAATTTTACAAATACCTTCATGATTTTATCCTAAGCTGACAATGCCAAAACTGTGGTGCCACTGCTAATCATTTTATTTATATTTATTTATTTATATTTCAAATTTGGACACCACCCATCTCACAATAATCATGCTATCCCATAGTGTAATGGGCTGTGAGAAAAACCCTGAGGACCAGGAGGAAGAGACACCACTAAGACAATGGTCAGATAAAAGGAATCTTGAGTCCAGGGTAGAAACGTAATTTGAGAAAGTGTCTCAGACTTGACCCTCCCTAGTTCTCTTCTAGATAAAGGCAGGGAGTGGGGAGGAGCTGTCAGACATGCAAGATTCTGTTACTGTAACCCTATAATAAAAGTAGTTTTAGTATTCATAACTTTGGTTTCCAAGTCTGGTCTGCCTCGAAGGGCTGACACATACAGCAGAGATGGGAAATCTTTATTTTTTAGGCTTCTCAACTTTCCATCAATCCCAGGCAGCCCAACCATTGGGATGGATAGTGAGAAATGTCATTCAATAAAGTCCTTTCCCTGCATATCACCCCCAAACATGTTATGGCTGCAATTTCTAGAATTCCTAGGTAGTGTACCAGCTGAGGAAACCCAGGAGCTGGAGGCCCAACGTGTTTGGATGGTTCCAAATAAGAGAAGACTATTCTAGGGAGCCAAGGATCCCCAGTTGTCAATGGAAAGGTTGTGAAATCCATGGCTTCATTTCTGTCTCTCTTTTTGTCTTCTCAGCTGACTTGAACAACATCAAGTACTCTGCTTACCGTACAGCCATGAAGCTACGCCGTGTGCAAAAGGCTTTGAGATGTAAGTCCTGCTTTTCCTTTGCTCTTCCTTCCATCCAGTCAGGTTGTCATTGGCCTCTGATATCATTCAGATCAATCTCCACCATGATCTTAATAAGTTTACATAAAAGAGGAGAGTATGCACAGACTTGCCTTGCACATCCATCTCCTACTTGACAGGTTGCGTGAATATTAGAGTTCATATGTGCTTCCATAATTCCATTGAAAAAAGGATGGAAAGACCATAGAACAGTGCTTCTCAACCTTAGTAACTTTAAGATGTCTGGACTTCAACTCCCAGAGTTCCCTAGTCAGCCTGCTGGCTGGGGAATTCTGGGAGTTGAAGTCCAGACATCTTAAAGTTGCTAAGGTTGAGAAGCACCCCAATGGAAGATGGAAATCTATCGCATCACAGCTTGGGATTGAGCATACCATGCTGACTCTATGTACTGGGTTGATGGGCAAGGTTTTATTGATGGATATTGTCCAAGAGCATATGACTCCTCCCACTTGCTTTGGAGGCAGGGTTATGAAAATGACTCCAGTTCAGCCCCTTTCGGTGGGAAGAGTCTCCCATCCCAGTTCAAATCCTGCCTGTTCTAAAGCCGCAGGATTTCCCCAAAGCTACGAATCTTGTGAAACATTTCTGTCATGTAAATGCTGGATCCAGCACTGGGAAATTATCTGGCCTTGAGGATCCAGCCACCCATCTTGTACCAAACTCTGGACAGCTCACATCCAAGAGATAAAGTGACATCTATTTACCATAAAAAACATTAAAACCAAAAAATTAACACCCAAGGACCTGACACCATAGCTAAACTTCCATGCAGCCCATAACAAGTACATCTCACAATCTCACCCTATCCCAGCGCTTGGAGGATAGATTGTTTGGTGCTGATCCCTGATTATCTGTATGTGGGCTGCTGGAGGGGATGTGTTGTAGTCTTTCAGGAAACAAAAAGACTACAACATCTGCAGAAAACAATACTCTAATCAAGGAACCACCAAGGAGGAAACCACACCCCCACCCAAACTGACAGGGCAAGCTACTGCATATAAACAGGCAGCAAACCCCCCACTCCCTCCATTGATGATGTCACCTAGTTGGATGATGAAACGTCAGAGAACACCAAGAACTCCACAATTCAACCCTGAGCTACAGAAATTCTCTTCTACTGAGATGTGTTGTGGTTCCTTTCTTTGTTTTTCTCCCACAATAATCCCTTCCTGGTTTTGACCCTCTTTTTTTTCTGGCCCCCCACAGTGGACATGGTGACACTGTCAACAGCCTTGGAGGTGTTTACAGAGCATGAGCTGCAACCAAGTGACCACGTGATGGATGTGGTGGAAGTGATCCATTGCTTAACCTCTCTGTATGAGCGGCTTGAGGAAGAAAGAGGCATTCTGGTCAACGTCCCCCTTTGTGTCGACATGAGCCTGAATTGGCTGCTCAATGTTTTTGACAGGTATTATGGACAGACACCCAAGCAAATAATAAAAGCTTGCTGAAACATAACTCTTTGGGATTCTTACCTCTGAGAAAAGCAGTCATTTCCTCATTCATCCTTGGGGCACAAAGGAAATGGCCACTCTCGGTTTATCTCAAGCATCGGCCATTTTGCATTTTCCATAAAACGAATCTTCCTCCTTGCTCCTCCTTCTGAGACTGGAAGGAGTTAATCCAAAGGATGAGAATCTAGGAGCTCTAATAATGTTATTAGAAGAAAAGTTAAAGTTACAGCCCAAGAATTCCAGCAGGTTTCTCACTTTCAAACGGGATATCTTTATATATGCATTTTAGGGCAGCAGAATTCTCGTCCATTTCCTTCAGTGCAAAGGGGTGGAAGCTTTCCTCTTTCTGAATCTGTTCATTGTTTTGGTTGTTGCTATTTTCTTTATCAACGTGAGAAATCTCCCAAAAAATCCATGCTTGTAGGGGGCGCAGGCATTTGAATGGAACTGGATTTGTTAGCTTCTCAAGACCTCTTTTCTGTCACTTCAGAGGGCAGTGTTAGAACTATGCATGGAAATTACAAGGAAGCAGATGGTGACTAAACAGAGGAGCTTTCTAAAGGCGGACACAGCTCCCTGTCCATCCAACAAGCTGGCAAAAGATGGAGCTTTTATCACTGAACCAAGGACAAATGTTTCACCCCACTCCTTGTCTTTCAGTGGGCGCAGTGGGAAGATGCGGGCACTCTCCTTCAAGACGGGCATTGCATGTCTCTGCGGCACAGAGGTGAAGGAGAAATTCCAGTGTGAGTCACTCTGCAGAAGATGGA